ACTCTCCATATCCCAGCTCCTGACCCTTCGTTTAATCAAGCTGAGACATGAACCAACGTCTCCATTCTTTAAACCTAGTAATTATCCAGAACAGGGCTGCAAAATAGGACACAATGCAGTATCAACTCTGTTTGCAAGAGAAAGAGCTGCCTTTCTCCAAGGAGATAAAACACCAGGAGTGGAGTGAGAGTGCTCAGACAGAGAGACGTTTGGGAACCTCAGCATCTCAGGTCACCCAGCCTAAAAGTTCAACTGGGACGCATCAGTCACTCTCTTGCTAACAATTTTCAGAGGGAAGACAGAGGTACTAAGTGAGAAACCTGAGGGCTAGAGATCTGAAAGCAAAAACCTTTCGAGCAGCACGGCCAGCACGCATCCCAGAGACCAGAAGGACCACCTAGAGGTTTGAGCAGACAGTGCAGACTCCAAACCAAAGCAAACATCACTTCAGGGCAGGCTGAAGGCTGAGAGCAGGAAGAGCAAATGGCCAAAAACCCCTGGTGGTGCTGCAGAGCTCTGTGGGACAGCAGTGCTGACCCTGCCCACCAGGCAGCATTCATGTCAAGTGCTCGAAACAATGAATTCCCTCCCTGCCATGACCCGAAAAGATCTTGGATACAGCTATGAAGTATTTAAAACAACTGGTACAGGTGAGCAGTGCTCTGCACTGCCTTCAAGCAGGCTGCCTATACTCACATCCTGCCCCACTGCCTTGCAATATGATAGGCAATAGTTTGGGATGCGAATAGGAGGATGGTGCTCAGCGCTGCCAGGACCAGCAGTGGGCTCTGGAGCATTTCTGTTGCTGAGTGCATCCATTGGGCCCCAACTGCTGTGGATCTGAACAAGATTTCCAATAGTCTGACACCAAAGCAGCCTGCATCCAGTGCTGCTCCTGATTTACACAGCCCAAACACTTCCAAACGCTGTAGCAGAAGTTGTGTGCGCACGGGGAGAGTTATACAATGGGGCTACCATGAAATGCTGCTCCTGCCTCCACCCAAATCATCACGACGCCCACAGCTCTATTCAAAACTAGAAAATCAAGCTCACCTCAACTCCAGTCTCTAGTAAAAAGCCTCATAAATTATGCAGCACCAAGTGGGAGCGTCTGCTTCTCTCCCAGCCAATAGCAAACCTCAGGCAGCTTCAGTGGAAACAAAACAGAGTTTGTTAAGTTTTCTAAGTTACTGTGCAGTCATAACATTGAGCTGCCCAGGAACAACTCAGCAGCAGTGCAGCTCCCTTTCCAGTTCTTCCTCCTGTCCCAGCGACCAAATGGAGCCCTTCCCCCACCACGGAGTCACAGGAGTCCCAGTGCCACTGGGGTCTTACAAACAGCCACAGACAGGGAAAGTGCATCTCAGTAGATAAGAAACAATTAGGACCTATTTTAGTACCAAGTGAGGAGCAAGTCAGCAATTAAAAGCCTCCCAGGGGTAATTATGTGTAAATTCTACCTCTCCTGTTTTTCAACCAGAGCAAAAGAAACTACAGGGCTGTTAGAAATAAAACCCATTTGAAGGTAACTGCATGAGAAGGGCCGTCAGTGCCCCACAGGATGCTCCAAGAGCATCTTCCCTTCAGAGAGCTTCAGCAGCAGGGGCGAGTCCTGCAGCCCAGCAATTGCTTCACTCTGCAGCACGTCTGGAACGGTTACAGGAAGAAAAAAAGTACAGCTAACTACGAGACAAATATATATATATATAAAAATGGCACAGCAATGTTTCTTCAGTGTCATAACAGGATACAGCAGCAGCACGCTGATCATCCTTCAGCAGCCAAGCAGAGCCTGCAAATGGCTGAGCTCCATCCCAGCTCAGCACGCCCTTGCAAAGCACACAGCCCTTATCTCGCCCCGCCATGTGTGTGACTGGCTGTGGCTGCAATGCCCCAAGGCAGCAGAGTGGGGCAGACCCACAGCCTTCCTCCAGCTCTGGCAACCCAATGCTGTACCCACTGCGGGGTCCTCAGAGTGCAGTCCAACCCCATCTGCAACCCCAGCACCAGAAATGCAGCCTAGGTCACGAGACAGGAGCATGGGGCTGAACTGACGTGGAAACCTGCAGGCTAAGAGCGTAGCAAATCCCTCCTATATCCAGAGTGGAAGAGCAGGTGCTCTGTAAACCCGTGACCCACCTGAGATACATGCTGTATGTCCCCTCAATGGCCCTGTTTTCCCTCATCAACTTAAAGAGCTCAAGTGCAGATGCCCACCCTAAAATTTACTGGCTTAAGAGAAATGCCACCCTCTGAACAAACACGGCGCAGCAAGGAGGATATTAAATTAAGAGGGTGTAAGTGTTTGTAAACATGAAGTGTCAGGGCAGTGAGGCTGCAGATGAACTGTGAGATACGGCCTGCTGGGCAGCAGGTTTATGAAAAGCAGCAGCTGAGAAAGTCAAAGAACATCCTGAGAAAAGGGGAAGTGAATGTCAGGGCTCGGAGCCCCGCATTGCTCACACCACCACCATCCTGGGCCACTTTCTGCTCATGCACTCATTTCTAACCTCTAGTACTACTTTACAAGATCACCTTTCTCCAGCAGCAGAGGAGCCGATCAGGAATGGCCTCTATCAGATGCTTCTCCATTGGCTTTGCTGAGCCTCGTGATGCTCTCAGAAGCCTCAGCATCTGTGGGCTCTGTGCTTAACACCTGGGATTCCACCCAGCGCCCAACCTCGCACTGTCCTCCAACCTTAAGATGCTGCAGGAAGAAGAGGTAAGAAAAATACACTGCTGGTAACAGAGCCCCACCTGGGGATACAGCACAGCCATGATCAACACGAGCTGGGTTTAATACCCAGAGAAAACAATTTCAGCAGTCTTAGATACTGAGATCCACTGGGAAAAAAGAAAACACCATGAGACAAAAAAGAGACCGTGTTAATGAGAATACCATTTTATCACACCACCTACAGAGCAGCCCTAAGAAATGGCCATTCCTGCTTTCCTTCTGATTTACGTGTACTTCACAGCCATACATCACACCGCCTCTAAGACAACACAAAACACACTAAGGATGGGACAAACGCAACCTGGATGATGGCAGTGCCAAAACCATATAACCCATACAATGTGGTGTGAGTGCCATCTCAAATCAAAGGGATGCACAAGGAAGCACTCGCTGTCTTAAGCAGCTATATAAATCTAAAAGCCAAGTATGTAAAGCTCACGTGGAGAAAAAAAGCAGGCCTGCACTGCCTTGTTATGTTCACAACACCTTTGGCACAGATGCGAGCTGAGTTCTGTTGTTATGTTTTTAAGGCAGTCCCCAACCTGGCTGCACCAAGGAAGGTCACTGATAAATAAAGATAGAATTAAAGCCATCACATGACTTGTGTGGCTCTAACGACACCAGAAGCTCCAGCTTTATTTATATTGCACTTGCTTTACATTCCACACTTGAGAGCCAAACATAAAGAGGCAATACAGATGTTGGGCATAAGAGGAGAGAAGATTTCACCAACACAACAGTGACTGAAAAATGCCTCCATGCAGACCCTGCACAACACTGTAGGTAACACAGAACAGGCAAGCAGAGGCACAGGCACCACATCCAGCTCTGGAAGCTGCATCAGGGAATGAATGGACAGCAGGGCTGAGCCCCCCCAGAGCTGGGGGCTTCCTGGGGCTGGAAGCTGCCCAGCACTGCGTGCTGGGGCTGCAGAGGCAGCTCCTCACCTGGCATTAAAGGTCCTCTGAGCCAGAGCCCCCACGGAGCATCAAACACAAACATCCACTGCACATGACTGAACGCAAAAGGAAATGGAGACTTTTTTTTTCCCCCCCTCCCTTCTGGTCTGTGCTCAGTTTTCAATTTGGTCGTTTCAATTCAATAATGGAAAGTATTTTGTTGTTACCAACAAGTGAGTTCAGCTCCCCGTCCTCACGCACTGCTCAGCTGCTGTGGCTATGAGAATCCCAGCGCTCTTCTCGGTGCCCTGCAACCTGCCTTACACACCTGATAGCAACCTGCAACTCAGGAAAACACACTACCAATATTCATATACATACACTGCAACAGAGATAAAAGCCTCAGTGGTTGTTTTTTTTTTTTTTTTTTTCCAGCTGATCTCCTAGGACAAAACCCATCAGAAGAGATACATGTGAAGCTTGGATGTGGCTCCCAGCTCACCACAGCTCCCCATCCCTCCAGTGCTGGGGGGGGGGGCATGCAGTGCCCAGGAGGTGCTCAGGAAATCAGGCCTTCATCTCACATCTGCTCACGCCAACCACAAAAAGAAACACAGTGAAAGGGAAACTCTGCTTGCAAGTACAGAAAAATACAAGTTGTTGCAGCTCCCTGATGTAAACACTCCCAGCATTCTGTCTCAAAAGCGCAACAGGGGTTCCCCACTGCATTTAAGTTGCTTTCCTCAAAACAGAAAATGCATTTTTCCGTCTGCCCCGTAGAGAACCATGGAATGCAGGAGGGGACCCAGGGCTGAGCAGTGCAGCCTCACCTGGGCTGACCCTGGCTGCAGCAGGGATGGCTGCACATCCACAGGCAGCACCCAGCGCTGCGATGCTATGAGATGCTGAGCGAGGAGCTGGAATCACAGAATCACCAGGTTAGAAAAGACCTTCAAGATCATCCAGTCCAACCTACCACCAATAGTCCTCCCTAAACCCTGTCCCTCAACACAACATCCAAACGTTCCTTGAACAGCTCCAGGGTCGGTGGCTCCACCACCTCCCTGGGCAGCCCATTGCAGCTCCTGACCACTCTTTTGGTGGTCTTTTTCCTAACATCCAGCTAAATCTCCCCTGGCGCAGCTTGAAGCCATTCCCTCCAGTTCTATCACGAGAGAAGAGGCCGACCCCCAGCTCACTATTTCAGGCAGTTATAGAGAGCAACAAGGCCTCCCCTGAGCCTCCTGTTCTCCAGCAGGACACAAAGCACGTCCCAAACGCAAACCAGCATCCAACCCCGCTTTCCTGAGCCCATCTGTCACCCGTTTCAGAGCCCGAACCGGGAGAAATCCCTAGCTACTGACCTGTCCGTGGTTGCGGGCTGTGTGCCACTCATTGGAGCCTCTGCCCAGAGCTCGTGCTATCCAATTTACATGGTACGATCACGGCGGGGCTGTCAGTGCGGTTCGGCTCCCCGCCGCAACCCCGCTGCGGGGGGGGAGGCACGCACCGAGAGAAGCGGTTCAGAAAGAACAAATTAAAAAAAAAAAAAAAAAAAGGAAAAAAAGAAAAAAAGAAAAAAAGAAAAAGAATCCCAAACTCTTCGCGCACTCAGTATCCAACCCGCGGAAGTAAGCGGAGGAAAAAAAAAAAAAAAAAACTTCGGTAAAAAGCCAAGAGCCGCGATGCCCCCCGCCAGGCGCAGCCCGCGGTGCGCGGCGCCCTGCAGGCCGCTCAGCTCAGCTCAGCTCCCGCCGCCCATCGCCCGCCGCCGCCGCCCGCCCCGACCCCCCGCCCGCCGGCGGCCCGAGCGGGGCGGGCAGGGCGGGGGGGTTTGGGCCGCTGCCTGCCGCCGCCTTTAGGCCCTCGGGGCCATGCCCGGCCCGTGCCGCAGCGGGGCGCCGAGCTCCGACGTCCCCGCACGGGATGCCTCCGTTCTCCTTTCGGCCTGCGCGCTGCGGGCAAAGTCCTGCGGCTGCTGCGAGACGGAGAGCGAGCCGCGCCCCTCCTTCCGGCTGGGAGCGGCGCGTCCCGGCGGAGCTGCGCCGAGCGGGGCCGAACGCAACGCCGGCTCCTCCCCTCCCGGCGCCGATATCCGCTGTATCCCTCCGCCCGCTCCTGCGCAGAAGCCTCGGCGCAGACGGGGCGACGTCTCAGCTCACGCGAAGCGCTGGGGGTTGGAAGCGGACCGCTCGGCTTCTGGCCAGACGAAGCCGTCGGGCCGGGCTGTGCGCCGTGCTTCCACCGTGCGGCTCGGGGTGAAGTTCCGCTTGTGGGTGCTGAGGGTGCCGGGATGCTCGGATCGGCTCCTTTTCCTCGTTGGAGAGTAGCGAGCGGTCCGGAAGGCGGAGAGCCCTTTGATGGGTTTGTTGTTTTGGAGAAGTTCGAAGCAAAGAGGGGAAGCGTGGGATGAAATCATTTTCTAAATGGCACTCGATGGAGACACGCAGAGCATCTGCGCTTCCTTTCCTAGCTTCCTTTTGGGGAAGAAAGAGGAGAAAGAGAGGAGTGCCGACGTGCATCCAGCAGTGCTGCGGTCCGTACCTACGGCACCTCCTTCAATGCAACAAATCCCTCCTTGTTTTATCCTGCAGAGCATCCGGACAGGGCAGGGCAGGGCAGGCAGACCCATCTCACTGCAGGTGTTGGCAAAATTAGGCCTCAGCGCTTCTTTATTGCTTTAATTCTGTTTTATCGTGCGTGGCAAAGCGGTGACGATAGCAGTTAATTGGAGGATATCCTAAAAAGGGTGATGGGAACAAGCTCAGCAGCTGCAAACGGACATAAAACTCAGCAGAGTGATGCTGATGATCATTGGCCAAAGGATCCGTTCTGTGTCGTATAGAAGCACTGCATAAAACCACAGCCATGCCGAGAGGTGTAAAGCCCTCCCATCACCTCGTCCAGATAAATTCCTGCTCATTATGGGCTGCGCTCGCGTTTCCACGTTTAAAGCAACAATAAAACAATTCCAAAGTAGACTCTGATACTGTAATCGCTTTTCCTTTCTGCAAGCACTGTGCTGTGGTTTTGTGCTTTGTTGGGAGCTGATGGTGTTCTTGTATTAACACAGATGTCTGTTTATGACATTTTGCTGCCTGGGCGGTTTTACAATGAGGAAAAAAAAAAATAAAAAAATCAATAAGCAATTATGCTGTGCAGTAGCAATTAGAATGGATTTCGGTTGGTGGCTGCAAAGCCCTCCCTGAGCCCACAGTTAGAGCTGGTGCTGCCATCTGAACCTGGACACCCAGCACAGCTGTGTGCTGCATCCCAGCACTCCCTTAGAGCCCAGAGCAGAACAGCTCAGCTCAGGAGGGCTGTTGGTGCGAGGAAAGCTGAGTCCTATCAACTACCAATTCTTAACAAGCCTTAAAGGATGGGAAGAAAAGGACGAATCCTTGGGGGTCCCTCATATGGGGCTGTGAGGGGCTGTCAGCAGCGCTGTGCAGGCTCCGTGTCCCTGCCCGGCTCCGGGCTCAGCCGGGGCCCTGATGCCACCTGCTGGGGGAACCTTGTAGGGCCGCTCCGTGCTCCCACCGGAGCCCCATGAGCACCGATCGGGGTTGGCACCTCTATGGGCTCAGCACGATCACAGGCAGGAGGCTGTTAGAGCCCTGATAGCTTCACGTTTGGGGCACGAAGAGCAGCGAGTGGCGTCGTTCTAACCTGAGGACGACTCCGCACGCGTTTCAGATGGGATAACCAAACCATCAGAGCAACGTGGGGATAAACAACTCACCTGTGAGTGCAGTGGATCCCCTGCAGACCTCAACGAAGGACAGACAGCTTTGTGAACCGGAGTGCCCTGACTCAGAGCTGCAGGTCTCGTAGCTGAGCTTTGCTGACCCCCAGCATAAAAACTGAATTGACAAAGTCTTCTGACTTTCATTATTCTCTCAGATTCCACATTGCTGTGTGGGAACCTTTCAGCATCTCATGCCTTAACACAGGCACATGGTTTGCTTCCTACAGAGACAAGCAGCCTGTTTTGCATCCCGTCCCCTGGAACTGCATGCAGGGCCGCTCTCTCTGCTTTGAGTGACTGGGACACATGCAATACTTTGCTGACTTTGTTGAGGCACAGATAGGCTAATCTACCAGGGCTTCCACTGTGACAGCGTATTACTGTGCCTAAACCTGGATAAGCCACGCCACAGTGAGTGTTTTTATAGCACTAAGCTTTCTTTCCACATCAGCATAATTAAAGCAGCAGCACGCATAAGGGCAAAGCTGCTGTGAGCACTGCCATGGAGTTTTCTTGCTGCTGCTTGAATCAACGTCCTCCAATTGGAAAAGGGATTTGTTACTGGGATAAAACCTGAGGAGATGAAGAATGGTGTTATTTCCCATCAGTTACACTGAACAGAACTTCATCTTCTGACATCAAACACGATTTCCACGATGCCAACCCAAGCAGCATGGCAGAAGGGCTGCACCCAAAGACATCAAGCAGTAATTAAATAATCTTTATTTTATAAAACATCATACAAAGCATCTACACCATTCACTGGTGGAACATTAGTTGCTATTACACAGTAATTGAAGCACAGGTTGTTATTTCACGCTAGTTCTGCAGCTCCCTTTGCAGACTGGCCTGAGGACAGATCCCACGGTGTGCTCCACAGCTTTGTACTTCTTCCTTGGGTCTGGGATTCCATGCTGGAGCCCAGCAGGCAGACAACAAGCCATGCTTTGTAACATCACACCCTAACCAGCATGTTTTAGAGATGTATTCTGGACACTCTCACCACGTATCCCAGGAAATACTCTTGTCAAAACTGACAGCTACAGTCCTGGGGAAAAACATCAATGCTCATTCTAAGTGAGCTGCATCTTCCCAGCACCTGCACTCCTCCACTATCTTTAAGTGCCACAGCAGCCTCTGGGTTCAGATGCACTGACCTGAATCTGGAACGACCAATAGCACAGCAAAGAGGAGCTGCCATTCTGCAGACACAGCAGTGCCCACGTGAGAGGTCCACCCAAAAACCACTTACTGCAAATCCTGATGGGGCTCCTCCTATGGAGAACGCTGCTCACCCAGAGAGCTAAAGGCAGGATTTGGAATGCATGGGTGGAGCTTTAACAGTCGGGGTGAAGAGGAGGGAAAAAGTCCCCAAAGTGCTTCACATCAGGGGTGGCAACTTTTGGGTTCAGAGCACCGAGTCCTGCAAGGTGCTCACACTGAGCAGAGCTGCTGACACTACTGGAAAATCAGTTATCCATATGTTAGCAAATAAGTTACAGAACGGAATTAGAAAGGGTAGCTCAACCAGCATCATCACTTCTCCCACAGGAAACATGGGGATAACGAACAAAGTGGAGATAACCATCGTTTTGTGTTTCCATAGCACCTCTCGAGTAAAGGTCTGAAAGTGCATAACAGATGGACCAGCTCCATCACCCCCCGTTCACAGATGGGGAAATGAGGCACTGGGTTAGGAAGTCCAGTGATTTGCCCAAGGTCACCCAACAGGCTGGAGGATGAGCCAGGAATCCCAGCTCCCATAAAACACTCCAACATGCTTCTTCCTAGCAGGACAAAGAGTCATCTAGCTGCCTAGACTGTACAGAACACGAACACCAATATCTAGTGCTGTTTTCCCATCTCTTCTGAGATCACACCAGCACCGAAGGAGGAAGCTGCTAGCACTGCTATGTACACCTGCACTGCTGGACCAGTTGTGTTTAGGAGGTTAAAAGTAGCCCTTCTTTCACTCGTATAATTTAGGGTGTGCTTACATACATGCTGAGCCAGCCTCTGCCAGGCCAAGTGCTGCAGATCCCACGAACCCATGGCATAGCTCCATGGATTTCAGTGGAGTTATGCCAGGAATAAGTTTGGCTCCAGAACTGCTAACGTGTGCTGGCTCCTCTCCTGACAGCGGCATCTCAGGCACGATCCCCTCCTTGCCAGCCCGTGAGCTCGAGGAAGTCCTTACTCAGCATCAGTGGCTTTTCAGATGTCCGTTCGTTCTCAAGCTCAGCTCCTCGCCCCTCTGGCTTCTCCACGCGTGGTACTTCTTCATGCTCTTCCTCCAGGCGAAGCGGCAGATGCTGACCATGAAGACCCAGGAGACGGCGTACATGATGACACCTCCCAGCTTGATGTACCAGCGGGGCTTCGGCGAGGTCAGCTCGCAGTACATCAGCCAGGCCCCCACCCCGATCCGCACCCCAGTGAACAGCACCACAAAGAAGAAATCCACCACGTCCCCGGTGAGGCTGTGGTAGCAGCCCATCTCCTTGAGGAACCAGCGAGCTTGCAGCAGTGGGTTGGTGATCTCGCTGCCAAAGATGACGGCGTTGACCTCGGCGGCCGACTCACCGAGCGCCAGCGATGCGGCGATGCCCACAATGCTCACCAGGTGATGGGCCAGCATCAGGGCACCCTCCGTCTGGAAGTACACACACCAGCAGAGGTCGAAGAGGAAGTAACCCAGGCTCAGGCAAAGCCCGTGAACCTGCAGGGTGGTGTTTGGGGATCCTGCAACAAAGACACCGGGCAGAGTGTTAGGGCACAGAGGTGATGAGAGGTGGGATCTGCAGCAGGAGGGGGATTCGCCCTCAGCACGGCTGGTCACAGCTCTGCTGGAGACACCAGACAACCCACAGTCCTACAGTTGTTAGTGACAGCTGCACGCATGCAACAGCCACACAGTGTGACATGCGCTCTGCAGCTGGGGAGGGCATGAAAGCAGCAAAACACAGCACCTCTCTCCCCATCTCCCTAGCACTTTCAGTAATAAGTATAACAGACATCACTGCAAACATTTTTCAAATGCGTCCATGCTGTATCCCAGTGGGTGACAGGAAAATCCCAACGCATGCCATCACTCACTTGGGGGGACTCAGCACAATTCTTGCCACTCACCTGGGTGACTCAGAGGCCAGGGGCCGTCGATAAAGCCAATGTAAGCAGAGAGACACGTAGCGAGGATGCCGTGGGTCAGCGTGACCAGCCTGCAGCTCCATTCATAGCTCCGGTGCTTGTAGCGATGGCAGAACCATGTGTAGAGGGAAAGCCAGGCCAGCAGGCTGCAGGCTGCCCGCAGGGGCAGGGCGAGCAGCATCCTGCCACAGGGATGGAAGGACAAAAGGCATCAGGAGCTCGAAAATTTGATCACGTCAGCACAATCTCACAATGCTGGACCTGCTGGGATAAGCTGGTGCTCATCTGCACTGCATGAGGGACAGGAAGAGGAGCTCCACGTTTAGATCCATGCTACTCCTGCCCTATCATGCCCACTTAGCCTGCCCTTCAATGGTCTGCCTTTGTTGCCCCACCAGACATGCTCAGTTGTGCTGATGCTACCTGGGTTCCTCCTCTCCTGAAACAAAATCCAAGAAACCCTCCACACCACATGGTCTCCTGCCACATCCAATGCTAACCAGTCTCCCCACCCCACAGCCCCCTCTGCAGGGATGCACAGGAGTGGTGAAAAGAGGAGGAGTGAGCTCTCCCACCTGTGGGTGGCACCAAGACCTTCAAACCTGTGAGATGCCAAAGGATTAACAGCGATGCCCACACACCTGGAATATTTGGGATGCATCGTTATGGCTGAGCGTTCAGAAGGAGCTGAGTCACGGGACCTTTTCCAGCCGTGTCACAGCTGTGTCACCGGTCCAGTTTGCGGTGGGGAACACCGGGAGGACCGCACGTGGTGCGGGGTCGGGGCTGACTCACAGCCGTCCTGCCCGGCCTGTTTTAAGCACCGCCAGCACGGCTTGGGCGGGATAAACAAAGCCATTATGTTATAATGGGAGCACGGGGAGATGAAACACGGACACGACGAACCGCTCCGACCGGTGACAGCAGCAAAGCTCGAGGCACCCGGGTCAGAATGGGTGAGGCAGGAGGAATCCTGAGCGATGGAAGGGAGCGGATCACCGGGAGAGGAGAAGCGACCTTTACGCATCTCCGTACACCCAAAAGATGGGGGTTTCTTTCAATCACGCCTCAAAACTAAACGTTTGCCCTTAGGATACACAGTACGTATTGCATCTGTGAATTACACCTCTGTAAAGGGCAACATCCTTTAAAAAGCGCAGCAATGCCATTATTATTATTATCCTCACTATTTCTTTAAAAAGAGGGTTGATGCTATCAGCAGCGCCGCGGGGGGGAGGAAAGAAAAAGGCAGACGAGAGCCATTAAACGCGTCTCGATAGCCGGAGGAACCCAACGCACAGATGCACAGATACAAACCGAGCAACCGGACCGAGCCCTTCCCGGAGCCCCGCACCCACCTGCAGCCCCGCAGCTGCCGGACCCACCGCTCCGAGCCCCGCCGCCGCGGCGATGGGGCCGTCGGGAAGAGGAAGCGGCGGCGGCGGGCGGGGGGCACCTGGCGGCGGGGAGGAGGGACGGCAGTCGCTGCGGGGGAGGGGGGGGGACGGGGACCGCTGACCCCACAGGCTGATAGAGGGCCGGCATCCTTGATGACGCGACCTGCGCGCCCGTCGCTCTGACGGATCGCATCTTTCCTCCGCCTTTGCTGGGCCAGCTGCAGTAATAATCACAGAATGGCCAGGGTTGGAAGGGACCTTAAGGATCATGAATCTCCAACCCCCCTGCCGCGTGTAGGGGATATAAATAATAAATGGGATGGAGCTGTGCTAGCGTTCAGCTCAGAGTAAAGAGCAACCTGTTCGCCGAGGTGGGAACAGCAGCGATGGTTACAGCACTAAGAAGCCTCAAGATTCTAAACTCAAAGCCTTCAGAGGATCATTTATTGCTAGAGGTCACTTCCAGAGGAGCTGGGTGGGTTTTTTTTTTTTTTTCCTCTGGCTCATATGACACAAACAAGTGGTAGGCAGTGAGCTGTGAGGTGGCACGTTAAATCTCACCCAATGGATGGCAGCAGCAGTGAGGTGCTGCTCACGCACTCATTTCCTTCTTTGTGCACAGTCAGCCATCCCAATGGGCTCGCTTTGCCTGCACACAAACAGCACTCAGCAAAACAACCCGGGACAGAAACCTCTGCTGATGGTCATTTGCACAGCAGTGGTCACTTTCTGTGACAATAAATTCCCCCACAGGTGTTTAACAGAAAAATCAGGTTCCAGCATTAAGAAAATCACATCCATTCCAAGGTCAGCAAGTAAGAAATGCAACGGGACGGTGGGGATGGAGCCAGATGCTCTTCCAGCACCACAGCAGAAGTTTAACACTAAAACCATGCCTGAGCTGAGACACAGCCACAACCACCTGAGGACACATTGCTTCCCACCCCACAGAGCCACTGCAGCCAGCTGTTCTGCATGGAAGAACTGGAGTACAGCAGGGTTCCAGCTGCCAGACCAGGCTGCCCCATCCAGCCCAGCCTCATTTGCTCCAGCTGCCTCCTTCAGTCCCAGAACAAAAGAATGTTGCAGCAACTGTTCCCTTTTAAAATGAGAATGCAACTTTATTGGAAGTCTGATCTCCAGGGAGCTCTCACAGCAGCCCATGACTCCAAAGTGCCCTCCTCCCAGGAGTGCCAGGCTCCATCTGCCCAACCCCACAGACCTGCTGTGTGCCTGGGGTCTGCGTGGCATCCAGAGGACACACCTAATGTTCAGTTCATTCATGCTATTAGCTTTTATCTCTCCAGACACCTTGCAGGCCAGCTATCAGTGCTGAGCAGAGCCCAGCTAGCAAGATAAAGGCAGAGAGGTGACGCAGCTGCTCCCCTCCTGCACCCCACAGCAGTGACACGTGTGACAAAGGCCACCAGAGGCTGCAGGGGCTCTGGAACTCCAGCAGGATGCTGCTACACAAGTCATGGGAAATTCACATTACAACCCCAGGGGAAAGTCAGAACACGATTCTGAGAGGTAAAGAAGAGAACTGATCCATATGCTGAGAACTGTACGGAGTGATGTCACACTGAGATCCACCTCAACATCACTGTCACCCCTGGAAATAAACACCAGACTCCTGTCAGCCTTGCATTCAGCATTCCTGGCCTGCAGCAAGACAGAGCAGAACCCTCTCTGGATGCTTTGTCTGTCAGCCCTCACACACACAGCACCTGAGTTTCTGAAATCAGTGCAAGGCGAGGTAATGCACTCCATGAGGAGGTGTTTGACACAAGCCTGGTTCCAGACCTCTGTTTGCAAGGAACAGAGGTGTGTTCTGTCCAACCCAGTGGAGTCACACTGCTCTGAGATCACTATCTCCTTGAATGCAAGTATTAAAAAGAAGGAAATGTATTGCTAAAAACAATGAGGTAGAACATTGCCTCACCCTCACGAACCACAGCACCATTACTTCACACCAAGGACAACCCCACCGTCCCCTTATGGGCACTTCAGCCTTGTGAACAAGCTCTCATTCAAGCACTTGGTCCAATGTTTTGTCCTATTTGAAGAGAGAACAACGCTGAGTACATCCTGGCTGGGTCACACCCGTGCCTGGCTCCACTGGGGAGTGGGTGAGATGTTCCAGATCAGGTATTCCAAATGCACCGTGAGATAACACTGCCTCCAACACAATCATAGATAAGTCAGTCTGTGCACTGTGGATGCGTCTGGCACAGCCCCACTGCAGGCTGTGCATTAAGGGCTGGAAGAGGAAGCAGCTCAGCAGACACGCCATGTTCCTTGCGTTCCCACTGAAATCCCTATTTGGTCAGCTTTCCCACATGCTGAGTGACCATCCATCTTCCCCAGGGCTTGTAGAGAGCTGCCAGTGCCAGGGTGTCATTTCCACGCCACTTTTAGGAGCTCTTGTCACAGTTACAGGCTCCAGCAGCCAGGATCCCATCCACAGCCACTGTCAGTGAGCTGCTGAGTGCCCATTTGTTTTCATGGATGCATCCACACTCCTCGGACGCGTCCAGGAATGGTACTTTTTCAACATCTTCCTCCTAACGAAGCGGCAGATCTCAATCATGAACCCCAAGGACACGATGTACATGGCCAGTCCTCCCCCTTTAAGGATCCAGTTGGGATCCGGGGCCGTCACCATGGCATACATGATCAGAGCTCCTCCGCCAATGCGCAGCACCAGGAAGAGGAGCACGAAGCAGAAATCCACCACCTCCCCCAGGAAGGAGTGGTAGAGGCCCATCTCCCTCAGGAACCAGCGGGTCTGCAGCAGCGGGTTGGTGATCTCACTGACAAACACCACTGCATTGACCTCGGTGGCAGACTTGCCCAACCCCAGCACCAGCACCATGCCGCAGATGCTGAGCGTGTGATGGAGCAGCATCAGGTCTCCCTCTGTCTGGAAGTACAAGCACCAGAGCAGGTCGAAGATGAAGTAACCCAGCGTCAGGGACAGCACGTGGACCTGGAGAGAGGTGTTTGGTGAGCCTGAAAGGAAAAAGATGCATAAACGTGGGGTCTCACTCAAGATATTCTTCTAGGACACTGAATAATACAGGTTGTGAGCTTTACTCTTTGCTTTCCAAGCTTTTCCTATGGGACCCTTGGCACCCCTGGGTATCAGGACACACAGCTCTGCTCTCCCACAGCCCACACCACATTTCTCCTTTCCTCTCCACCCTTTTAGAAAGGAGGGTGGGAGTGCCTGACCCCACCAGCAGAACTATTTGAGATTTAATGATAGAAAAGCACAAACAGAAGCCCACGCTCTGGTGCCAGCAGTTATTATACCCTTCCAGATGCAAACAGCATCGAGCCTGTTCTCCATATTGCCACACCTGCCAGCAGCAGAGCAATGAAATTCAACCCGAGAACCCTCAGCAAGTGCCTGGGTAGGACAACAACAAGAGGTAGGAGATGCTGAGGAAGAAGCAGGGAGCTGGACGGAGCCTTGCCATGCCCCCAAAACACACACGTGAGAGGACAGACAGCAAAAGCAGTTGGATCCCCACCCGTGGGATGGCGTGAGGATGTGTCAGGGTGAGGCCCCACACACACCTGCATGGCTCAGAGGCCAGGGGCCGTCCCAGAGGGCGATGTACCCGGACAGGCAGGTGGCGATGGCCCCATGCAGCAGGGTGACCAGGCGGCAGTTCCACTCGGGGGGGCGATGCCTGTTCCAGAGGCAGAAAGCAGCATAGAGGCACAGCCAGGCCAGGAGGCTGCCCAGCACTTCGAGGACGATGGGGAGCATCCTGCTGAACGGAGATAAACGGAGCAATGAGCGGGAGGATGCTCACCTAACCCGCGTCCACAAAAGCACGCTTCGCACCCTCCCCACGAGCGCTGGACGCAGCCGGCTCCTCTCAGCACCGCTTCCCCATACGCCCTTCCTCCTTCCCCCGCCCTAAACCGCGTGGGAACGAACCCGATCACCGCACCCCCGCCCTATCCGGCCCTATATACCCCAGGGATGGAGGTGGTACCCGGGACTTGGCAGACCCCCCCCCTCCGCACCGCCGCTGCTCACCCGAAGCTGCCCTCCCTCCTCGCGGCTCTGCGGGAGCGGCTCAGCCCGGAGAGGCGGTACGGAGCGCTCCGGCTGCTTTTATCCTATCCTTTACCCTCCTCCCTCTGCCCGCCCACCTCCTGCCCTCCGCTCACCCCATAGGGACGGAAAACAAGCTTTTTTTTTTTCTTTTTTTTCTTTTTTTTCGGAGCGTTCCGGAGTTGTTCTCTGTCCGGTTGCGCACGCGGTTGTGGAGCTGTTGTTCTGATGGGAGAAGGGGATGGAAATAGGGACTGGGGAGCGGGGAGGGATGCGCTGGAGGTGTCAGGAACACGCAGAACAGGAAGAGTGAACCAGAACAGAGGTGAGTAACCAGGAAGGGCCACGCTGCTCCCAAACCCTCGGAGTCAGCGCCGTGTTGGTTCTGTTTTTATTCAATCCATCTGAAGGAAGCTCCACGTCCCCAAGAACCCCAAATCCTCCCTACAGCCACAGGGCTCCATGCAGGTGATGGCAGCAAGTGCTCAAATTTTACAAGTGTCCTCATCTCAGGGTGCTTTTGGAAGGGGTCCCATTGCAGCTCAGACTCCAGATCCTGCTGCCCAGCACCACCCAAAACCATAACTTGAGCCTGAATTTCAGCCTGCAGGTGCAGGAGTGTTTTGTGCTGCACTACCACCACCAAGAAGGTGAGCCCCAGGGCTGTGAGCATCGGGGATGGACCTGGAGGGCACACTGAGATACTTCAGGATGCTCCAGGACTGCCCTCAGGTCACAGAGAGCGCTGAGGAGGGCGAGGAGCAGAGCCCAGACTGACCTCATTCTGTTCAAAGAAATCAATAGCAAAAAAACCCCAATTCCTGGCCCTGCCCCGACCAGACAGAGCTCAGTCCCATGGGTGGATCAGATCACAGCCTGCTGGCTCTGTTCACATTGCTCAGCTCTGATTGCTGCAGTGGTCATGTGGGAACGTCACCTGTGATGCTGTAACACCTCCTGTGTGCATCTGAGCACCTGGATGGGCTCCCTCCCATTCTGAGGATGCCGGCTGAGTTCTGGCTGAGGAGAGCAAAGCTCAGCTCCCAGAGCAATGCTGTGTCCTCAGCCTGATTGTGGGGCTATGTGGGATCAGCTCGTTCCTCCAGCAAGCTTGTGAATGGCCATTCTGCAGGAGGGAGGTGAACAGGTTCACATCCCTGATGCTCAGCAGCAATAGGATGGGACCCAGAGGCATTTCAGACAGGAATGCACCGACAGCTGAGGTCTGCATGGGTAACAAGTTGGGTTGTTCTATGGATTATGGCAATTTTCATTGCCACCATGAGCCCCTGCACTGCTGTTATATGGCTGTGGGAGGGTTGAAAAGCAGTCATTTCCTGCCAGGTATGGTAACAAATTCACTTGTTGGCTTGAAAACCTCCAAGACCCTTTTACCAAGGGTTGAAGTGTGCTGTCAGCTGACCCTGAACCCAACAGTGCTATAGGGTTAGCATAGGGCCGCCTGTTTAAATGTATGGGATGGGGCTATGAGGGCAATCAGAACGCTCGCTCCTGAGCTCCTATCCACGAGATAACGTGAGGCTTTCATAGCACCACTGAGCTGGAAACTGCAGGTTTTTTGTAACATTGCTATAAGTGATGCCCCCTGTAGTGGGAGTGGAACACAGTGCCTCATTTACCACTTGTGAGCTGTTGTGTTTTGCACGAGTTGAGGGCCAGGAGAAGGGAAGGGAAGGATTACCATCACCATCACCTAATGGGGATTAAATGATTTGTCCGAGGTCATGCAGGAAGTGAGGGAACAAGCGGGCATCACACACATCTCAATGCATTCGTCCTGTATGTATATATCCCACAAACATTTCCAGCACCCAGGGTGAAAAAAAATACATCAGATTGGAGCCATTGGTCATCCCCAACCCATGGGGCTGTGCACAGTGCTGAGGGAGAGGCACTGCCCTTGAAATGGCCATGCAGAGGTTGGCTGTGTGCTCCCCATCTGCATTTTTACTTTCCCAGCAGAAAATAATTCAGTTTTTCTTCTTTTAAATCACAGAGAAAGTTTCGTTTCGATGTTTCGACTGATTTAATATTTAAAAGGAAATATTTTCTATATTTTTTTTTTTCCAAAAAAAGACCAACAACAACAACAACAAAAAAAGGTTACCTTGTCATTTTCACTCCTCTCTCATTACAATCAGTGTCTGCCCCTATCCCATACACCTCATGTGAAGCAACAGATGCAGTTCTATACACAACGTGGGGCTCAGTGCGTTGTGTGAAGGAACTCAGACCCCCGTGCAGCCCACAGACCCCTATGGCAATCACCTCATCACACAGCACTGATGGAGCAGGATAAGAAACAACTGAATTGAATACATTTGTCCCCAAAAAGAAGTGTCAAAGGAGAGATTTTACTTAGGGAAAAAACAAACAAACAAACAAAAAGCTCACGTTTGCCTAAAAAGAGCCATCAAAAAGCAACAACAACAACAAAAAAAAACAAAAACAAACAAAAAAAAAACCAACAGAGCTACTACTCAAAAAATGTCTATTTACAACCTGTGAGCCAAACACCCATTTACTCTAATTTCACTGCCTTGTGCCCATTGAGAACCCAACCAGGAATCTGCATCACTCCGATCTACTTAACAACATTAAATATTTACCCCTTTATGTGAGGAGAGCTGTGACACGACCACGATCTCCCCAGCAATATAGAAGGTGACATCTGCCACCCTTTGGCATCTTTTGCACCCAACTCCCTCCGGTCTCACAGCTGAGCAGTGCAACCTGGTTGGGGGGCAGAGAACAGCACAGCTCCATCCTCTACAGCATCCTCACCAGCACATTGCACCTCTGCTCTGGAGGTTTGGTATCAGACAAAGCCCAATGGATGAAGAGTAGAAAGAAGGGATGGCCAACATTTGTCTTTGTCCCATCAAACCTACACGAATTGACTCTGTGGTCATTGCAGTTGCAAGTTCACGAGGGGCTGCAAACAGTGCCGTCCTCCATTGGGCAGCTGGGAGGAATAACAAGACCTGGACACACGTTTTGCAAAAGGAGGCAATTTTTTTTTTTTTAAAGCAAAAATAAAATAAAATAAAATTAAAATTAAAAAAAAAAAAAAAAGCAAGCTGTAAAATACTTAATATTAAAAAAAAAAAAAAAAAAAAAAGAGGGGAAAAAAAAGAAAAAAAAATTCGGAAGGAAAGCAGAAGGGCTCAAAGCAAAGCAAGCGTGGTGGTGGGTAAAGCACAGCCGTTGGCATTGGAAGCCAATGGGAAACCAAGGCTGCCATCTAGACATGGGTCTCTGCTGAAATGAACTGGGTGACCTCGGCTCAGTTTGGGGTTTGGTGTGCGTGCCAGTAACAGCATGGCAGACCCTTCTCATGGGAAGCTCTGAAATGAGTGGGGGGAAAAGGGGGTCCTGACAGAGGAATCCTTCCAGACGAGGGATTGCCGGGCAGTCCGGTGTGAGCACAGAGGTTTGCAAGCAGAGGGCAGTGTTTCATGCTGATAGAGCTAAGCAAGGGCTCGTTCTTGGAGTGAATGAATGCATGGAAGAGAGTTAAAATGTCACTGTCGGTGTTCAGATCCTCGGGGAGGTCAGCTGCAGCCTGAGTCCCTGGAGTTCTGCTGCTCGGGCTTCCCCTAACATTCATTGGGCAGTGCTTGGAAGGCACTGTGCCGCCAGATGTTGCCCCAAGCATTGTTCCTGGAGAAGTTGGTCCATAGCTGGAGGTCAGAGCTCCTCGTACACGGGACGGAGTGGTCTCAGTGGAGGTAGGTAGGTTGGTTCCATCGGTACCAAGATCTGCGTGCACACAGCGAATCAGAGCCACAATCACCACGTGGTTAACTTTTCCCCTTGAAACAAAAACCATTCCTATCCCACTCGCGTTCCTGCTCAGACTTGGCAGCCAGCGGATGCTCCTTTGCCCTACAGGAAGCTCACAGCAAACCCCTCTCTTTCTGAGCAGCTGCCTGCACTGAGCTGCCGGTTCCCACACCTGGCTGCGGGGCTTCCTCTGCGTCAGTGCAGCTGTGAGTCATGGCACGGGGTGATCCGTGACTCAAAGCCCAGCAGCTACACTCAGTGCCCTCTGCTCTCAGCTGCCTTCCTCCCAACGCAGCATCCGTGATGTCACGTGCAGCGAGCAGCAGAAACCGTGGGTGCAGAGGGCAGAGCAGTGGGGGCACAATCAATGAGATAACGAGGAAGGCTCGGAGTCTGAGTGTGTAGTGACATGCCATCATGTGGCTCCATGCTGCTGGGGCCTCTGCAGGGCTGCATGCTCTGCCCTGAGGTCCCTCTGCTTTTCTCTCATCTTTACCTATGGGATTGAGCCACATCCACCCCCACTCCACCTTACCCTGAAGAGTTGAAACCGGACGAGTTCATGGCAGCTTTGGAGTTGCTCTGGGCTGTGCTGGGGCTGCTGGCATGGAGGGCACTGCCAGGGGATGAGGGCCTGCTGGAGTTCCCTGGGGAACACGATGATGTTACTGCACGGCAGAGAGAGCAGAGTGAGGCTGGGATCTCCCTTCTGCCCCTCCAGCCTCTTGCTTCCACCCTGTGCTGGAGTGCCCTCCTTTGGCTGCTTGGTGTGCAGCTCCCAAACCTCAGCATCCCAATGGGGTTATCTCAGAGGTGTTAGCACACCCGAGAAGCTTTCCATGGCTTTGCTCCAGCCAAGAGAAAGGTTCTGCTCTTCTCACCCCTCAGACAACACTATGCTGGGCTACTTCCCCAGGGTTATCATGGCCTGGAAGCCAAGTGGCCTGAGAGCAAGAGTAGAGGAGGGAGGGAAGGAATGGGACTGAGGTGGTTTGTCAGGGCTTACCTGTCCCAGGCATGGTGCTGTGCACCGGGTTGACAGAGAGGGGCCCCAAGGACCCTGAGGTAGAGACCTGAGGAGGAACAGAGGCAGGTGGTCAGTAGATGGCAATGGGGTGTGGATCCCAAAGGGCCACTCCTTCACATTTCCTTCACAACATGCTGGCTGCCAGTCATGCTTCCTACCCCTCTACACCTCTTCATACTTTATTGGACACGCACAACTCCCACATTCAGGGTTGTGCAAAGAAACC